GGAGTATAGCCATGCACCTGCCTGTATCTCTGGGCAGCACCTGTTGGTCTGCTTGAAACCTTTGCTGCCCTCTTGCCAGGATGAGGCGGTGAACCATCGAGTTGGTGAACCTTACTACTCCTCACTTATCTACACTAGCTGGCTCCCTCTCTACTTCTCCGTTATCTACTTTAGAAGGTATAGATGGTGCAAATCATTATGAAAACTCACATAAAATATTATGGTCATTAAATCAAATCCAGCAGAATATTTTGTAGGAAGATTCCATACAATTTCAAGTTTTGGCCCAAGAGAATTTATTAAGAGTTCCAAATGTCCAGAGGCTAGGAGCTCTGCTCCTGACAACTCCACGGTGTAACCTCTAGGGTCCAAGGAGGACTGAAATAAATTCATTGTTTTCTCTATGTAGAAGATATTTTTCAGAGTTTGGTTGGTTACAGAGATCAAAGCTTCACTAAGTGCTAATTACACACACTGATGCTTGTCCTTATGTTGAGGAAAGAGGCTCCTGACCGTCCTCTGGTGAGTCTGAGGTTCCAGAAAGACAGAGTGGGTTGAGCAGTGGAATGCCTCGAAGGTAGAACTTTTGACTGGATAAGATAAAATATCTTTGTCATTGACTTGAAAATGAAAGAAAATGAACTTTAAGAAACATCTATGACAACTAGGTATATGGAAGAGAACATTGTAAACAAACTATTTTGGAATGCTCAGTGGAATTGAATTCTTATATCCCTAGAATTTCTCTCTTTTTATACATCAACACAAAATAGTTTAGTGTGAATGTGTGTATTTAATGACAGAATTTGTTATTCTATTCTTTGTGCTCATGGATGCTTGTAAAATTAATTGCCAAACTTTGTGAAATATTTCCATATTAGATATTGCAGGTATATAGGTCAAATTAAGGAAACATAAACGCTGATAATGCATGGGGTGACCATATTTTCTTCTCCACAAATAACCATATCTCCTTGTCCCAAAGTAACTCTAGGTACACTTTGTCAGAGGATGGTGAGAGGTCAGGCTTCTTTTAATATCCGGTTACTTCAGGCTTCTGACTTCTACCTAGGGAGGAGACGGGAAGAATTCTGACAGAATGGAAATTGAAGAAATATCCCACTTTAGACATGTGAATGGTCAACATTTAAAAAATAAAGAGTAAAGGGTATATCACTTAATCACTTAACTTCCCGTTAGTCGTCGATTTGCTCGAGCGGGCGCCAGTAACGTCTCCATTTGTCCCTGTCGCGTGCTAGTGTAGCCCAATGGCATCTCTTCGCTCCAGGAACATGGAGGGCCTCAAACCGATCGTTCATGACCTTGACAAAGAAGTCTGACCATCTGGTAGGTGGGCGGCCACGCGGTCTCTTGACATCCCGTGGAATCCAATCAGTAACAGCTCTAGTCCAACGGTCGTCTTTAAATCTCATTACGTGACCAGCCCATCTGATTTTCGACACCTTGGCAAATGAGACAGCGTCCCTGATCCTTGATCGTCGACGGATGTCAGAACTCCGGATTCGTTCTCTCATTTGAGTGAAACGTGATATTCCAAGCATAGCTCTTTCTATTCTTCTTTGGGAGACCTGAATGGCGTTCTCATCTTGTTTGCGTAGGGCCCAGGTCTCTGAGGCATATGTTAATGCAGGAAGAACAGTGGAATCAAAGAGATGTGCCCGGAGCCGGAGGTTCTTCGTCCTCTTAGCTATTTCTTCGACGTTCTTGAAGGCGTTCCAAGCCGCTCTCTTCCTCCTGCGCAGCTCGGGTGCCAGGTCATTTGTCATGTTGACCTCTCGACCTAGGTACACATAGCTGTTGCATTCGGAGATGGTCGTTCCATTGAGAGCGAATGGGGAGTCAGGAACAAGGCTATTTCTCATAAACATTGTCTTCGTAAGATTCAGCTGTAGTCCTACCTTTCCACACTCACGGTCAAAGTCGGCCAGCATTTGTGCCGCTTGGCTGATGTTTGGTGTTATTAAAACAATGTCATCAGCAAAGCGGAGGTGGTGTAGTTGCCGACCATCTATCTTCACTCCCATTCCTTCCCATTCCAGTCGTCGCATGATGTTCTCGAGGGTGGCACTGAAGAGTTTTGGTGAAATGGTATCACCCTGCCGCACCCCTCTCTTGACATCAACGATCACTTCTTTGTAGAATGGTGAGATCCTGGTAGTGAATCCGCAATACAGCTCACGGAGGATCCTGATGTATTGGGCTTGTATGCCCTGATTGGCTAGGGCTTCAATGACCGCTTCCGTCTCAACAGAATCAAAGGCCTTCTTTAAATCAATGAACGTTAAGCAGAGCGGCATCTTGAACTCCCGAGAAACCTCAACTGGTAACTACAACTGGTCTCATTCAAAGGGTATATAAAATATAAAAAATGACTATCAAATTTGTAAGTCTATCATGAAATAGTGGTTATATTTAAAAATCATTAGCATCTATCTAAATCATTAGCATTATCATCTATCTAAACCTGTTGGGTTTGCTATTTTTTTCTCAGAAAAAGCAAAGCAAAGCAAAACAAAAGAAAACAAAACAAACCACCAAAATCTCAGCTTCCCTTTTCAGAGAGCAAAATCCCTCTTGGAAATTTAAAAGTGCTTACACAGAACTTGCTCCAGTGGCAACCAAGCTATCAGGGCTCTCTAGATGTCATACCCCTTTTCAGCCCCTGACCTCCAGAGGATGGTGTTGAGCACTTCACAAAATATTGATTTATGTAAACACTAAGTATTTGGGATTCAGGATGAAAGTAGATAGCTGGAAGCATTTTGAAATTTCACCCAAAAAGAGAATGATCAATGGATGGCGGCTAAGGTGGTAATAGCATGCATCCAAATCATCACTGTGTTGTGCTAGTCCCGGTTCACATATTTTTAAGATTTAAATGTAAAAACTTTAATTGTGATCTATAAAATTTAATAAATTTTGTCAATGCATCCAATTAATAAAATTTAATCAACTAAACTTTGGAGATTTAAATGCATTTTGCTTTCTCTAGAGCTCAAATAGTGCAAATATATATCTTCATTCATCAGTTTTAATTTTCTCTAAGACCCTATTTACTTTCTGTAGTCATCAGTATTAGAAAACATGAATTAAAAAGTTTACTTAATGTAAGTGTTTTCTGTAAGTTCAGCAATACAGAGGCATGCACTAATAGAAGATGCATAGTTGTGTTGTGATTTTGGAATGAATCGATGTCACCATTCCAAATTGGCTCTATCTAAAAACAATGAGTTTCTTTTTAGAATATTTTCTCATTCATCTTCATATGAATTACTGATCAAGCTTAAAATTTTAGGATAACTGAGCAACACTTTCATGTATATAAATTAAAATCTTTCTGTTGTCTTTCATCTAGAAAATTATGCAACGTGCTTGCAAGTACATAGAGATGAGAGAAATTTCTGGAGGCTACAAAAATTGACCTGGTGAGTTTGAAAAACAAGAAAAGAATGCCTAAGTTAACAGTGTATAATTATGATGTCAAGATGCATCATCTTCAAAGGCTTTTTGTACGAGTATCTATATGAAATGCTTTAGTTTAATTGAACTCTTACCTATGACTCCTGTGGAACACACACGCACACACACACACACACACACAATTAGAAAATGAGGGTGAATTGATTTCCAGAAATTGTAAATTTGTTATGCTTCTTGCTGTGTGTTTAATTTCTGGGAGATGCTGTCATTACCCAATATGTTTATTTACAATATTACAGATGCAAGGAAATGTTATTAGCTTTTTCTTAAATCAGTACAGTCTCATCCTTGGAATTTTTCTAGTGCTGAAAAGCTAAATCAGGATCAGCTTTTTCCCCCCTGCCTCCTAGTGGTAGTGAAAGTCTATTATTAACCAGCATAAACATAATGATATATTGCCCATAACACTGTAGCACTCTCCTTCCATTGTTCATCGATTTTCTTGAGTGGGTAGCAGTAACGTTTCCATTGTGAGGCTTGTTGTTACTGTTTTTGGCATATTTATACGTGTTGGGGAGTTTGCCAGGCTCTGCTGTGCAGGTGGGATACTCTTGATAGCTTGCCGGGACCTCCGAGAGGGACTAAGGAATTGAACCCGGGACGGGCACATGCATGGCAAATGCCCTACCCGCTGTGCCCAGCCCATATATTGCCTACACAGAACTAATTGCTTGTTATGGTCTTATTTTCTTCTAGCATTTTAGTGTTTGTTTCTGTCTGATCAATTTATGCATTTTGATGTCCTAGGTATAATATTCTTGGCTACTTATAACCATCATTTTCAGTCATCCTAAAACCTTAGGTTAAGATTAAGATTTATCCGTATTTCTACTGTAATAATTTAAATGAATTTGGTTCCCTTTTTTAACTCTTTTCTTTATGTTGTGCATAGAATTGAACTCAGGTCATCAGTCCTGGGTGAGTATGTCCAGTGCTCAACCACTCACCCAGGGCCCTAAACAAATTTTCTTAAACATGAGTTATGTCTGATCTTTTTCAGAATATATGCAAACTTGACCATGTTATATAAGTTAGTTTAATTTCCTGATAAAATAGTATTTAACGATCATATTTTGTACAAAAGTCCTTAGTAAATCTAACAAAAATTTAAGAATTTCATAGTTCTCTTGTTTTTATTAAATTAAAAAGGATTATAAATGACACAAAATACATGTAAGCAATGATTAATTGTAAAGATAATTATACTCCTGAAAATAGATTTCAAAATTTTTCTTTAACCATTTTCAACTAAGAAATATATAAGATTTGGGTTAATTGATGATTTTGGTTAATACAAGGGTTACATTTACATCATCATTATTGTTAAGCACTAAGGCATAAATACATGCTATATTTATGAAGAAAAATATTGATAGTTGGTTTTTAATGAACTGTTATTTTACTTTACAATTGTTTTATAACTCTAGAGAATTTGGGGAATACTGTACACATTCAGGATCTGTGATTTGCAACCAACATCCATAAGAAGTTAATGGACTATGGCTAATTTCACGACAAGTGGGTTTCTCCTCATAGGATTTTCTACCGAGCCCGAGCTAGAATTCTTCTATGCCTGTCTGTTCTTCGTTCTGTACTTGTTGGCTTTAACAGGCAACATGCTCATCATCACCACAACTTCCCTGGATGACAGTCTCCAGTCCCCCATGTATTTCTTCCTGAAGCATCTCTCCTTGTTGGATCTCTGCTACATTTCCGTGACTGTCCCGAGATTCATTACTAACTCTTTCTTGCATAGAGGAAACATTTCCTTCTGGGAATGCGTTCTTCAGTGCTTTTTCTTCACTCTCTGTGCGGGTGCTGAGGTGGCCATGCTCACGTTGATGTCCTATGATCGCTACGTGGCCATCTGCCTGCCTCTGCGCTATGAAATCATCATGGACATCAGAACCTGTGTCCATGGAGTGGTCGCAGTCTGGGTCAGTGGGACCATCTGTGGAGCCATGCATACGGCAGCTACTTTCTCCATCCACTTCTGTGGACCCCGCATCATTCACCAGTTCTTCTGTGATGTTCCCCAGATTATGAAACTCTCCTGTTCTAATGAGTACCTGGGTGAGATCGGTGTCACTGCCTTCGTGGCTATGCTGTCTTTTCTTTGTGTCATCTTTATTGGGTTCTCCTACGTGCACATATTCTCTTCGGTGCTGAGAATGCCATCTGCTGAGGGCAGAGCCAAGGCCTTTTCCACTTGTCTCCCCCACCTCGCTGTTGTCATATTATTTCTTTCTACAGGTGTCTTTGAGTACTTAAAATCTCATTCAGACTCTCCAACTGTGTCAGACATTCTGTTCACTATTATGTATACAGTAATTCCACCAACGTTTAATCCAGTGATCTATAGTCTGAGAAATAAAGCTGTAAAATTAGCAGTAAGAAAGATTTTTTTGAGAAATAAAGCATACCTGGATTGATAACATGTCTTTATTCTTTGTTGGCAGAGAATTTCAAATTCTCTTGGTCAATAATGATATAAACTACCAGGAAATTTCAGTAAATCAAAAATGAATTATAGGGACCATTTGAATGGGAATGTTTTGTTCATATATCTTTGGAGTAATAAAATGACAAAATACTTAAACTTTTGTAAATATCAGAGATTAAGATTCACTCATTGAAGTTTGAGGGTCAAATAAATGAAATTGTTTACTTAAAACCATTCAAATTTTTGACTTAAGATTTGTATGTCAATGTGATGTAAAGATGTGCATTTGAGCCTTGTTTATTTAAAAAAAAGGTTCTTCTGTACTCTTAGATATTACATGATATTTATAAGCTGATCCAACTCCCCTGACAAAGAACACTCATTGGTTATTTGGAGTTCCATTAATGCTTTTCAACTTCTTTGGGCTTCAACTCACATACATTATTGTAAAGTTGAATTATGTATATGAAATACAATCACAAGTAGATATTATATTAAAGTATTAATTATAGTTATAATTATATAATTATAATTATTTAATTATAATTTTATTTTGACTTTTAAAAAATGTTTATTAGTGAAACACCATGAGGTACAGCTGTGAACTTACAAGTTTTTGTGCTTGGGTTTCAGTTATACAATGATTGAGTACCCATCTCCCTACCAGTGACCATTCTTCACCACCACAAATCCCAGTATCCCTCTGACCCCCCCATCCCCCATCCCACCCTCCTCGGTGGCAGGGCATTCCCTTTTGTTCTTTCCTTTTGGGTGCTGTGGTTTGCAAAAGAGGCATTGAGTGGCAATTATGTTCAGTCTATAGTTTACTTACAGCATGCATCTCCCATCCTGGGAGGATCCTCCAAACACCCTTTACTTGGTACTCCCTTCTCTATCTGAGCTCCCTTTCCCCCTAACATTTGCTGCTGGCCTTCAGGCTATGGAGTGAACCTCCTGATACTTATCTCGACTGTTCTTGGATGTTAGTCTCCTATTTTGTTACTTTATATTCCGCAGACATTTTTAAAGTAGTTTCTGCTTATAGTTTGCATCCTGTAAGTCATTGTACTAGTATCATAAATTGAATTATATGCTTTCTTTTCAGCAAATTTTAACAACACCTTGTCTGTAATCAGATGAGAACATAGGTGTAGGAGTTTCTAATCTGCTGAATTGAAGAGTTCATACTTATAATATCAGACTCAATTTTTTATCAGAATTCTAACTTTCTCCTTCTGCACAGATTGAGGGAAATAAGGCTGAGGAAGATGGTCAAGCACTGAATGATCTCATTCCTCTCTAGGATATAGATAAAACAAGAAAGGGTATAAGAATATCAGTTGCTAACAAACCTGGTGCACTGGATTAAAGATCGGAGAGTACCAGGTTATGGGGTGAGTGTAGGAAGAATGATGAGGTGGACTGGAAGTGAGCAACTTATTCTATTAGTGGAGGATCTTGGACACGATGGGGTGAAGAGGTGAGATAACTTATAAGCATCAAAATCATACATGTCCACATTATTGTACATACATGGCCTAACAATAGCAATTTTTTTAAAAAAATTTTATAAAAAGACAATGACTGAAAGTCATTGATACTTTGGTAGTGGTGCCAAAATTTGTATATCTGAATTAAATATGATAATAATATTATAAACATGTTATTGAAACTAATAAAAATAAACTTAAATAAATACTAACTTAAAAAATAGTAAAAGCTAAAAAAATCACTTCAAGAGCCATATACATTAATGTAATATATTATTGGATTTTTGCTCAGTGGAATTTCATCATTTAAACAAAGAAATGAAAAATTTAATACTCTTTCAAAAAGAACAGTAAATATTAGGTGCAAAGAATTTGTTCCTCAATATCCTACAGGCTCACATATATATAAAAATAATCGATATTTCAGATTAAGTAATACCCTACAAAATTTTTACTTTATTGTCTTAATTGTTAATGGAAATAGTATATGAGGTATTTATGACAATATGTCCCCTTTATGCTCTACACAAAGCAGAGTTAAACTGAATTTTGTGATTCTCATATTTCTAAATAATATATCACTATAAATTTATAACTTTTCAAACTTACTAAATGTTAGATGTTAGATGTAATTTCATCTAACATCCAACCCAAAGAAAGCTTTTGTTTTATTTCTTTGTAGGATATCATTCTTTGTTACCTGTTAGCTATTGAATATGTTTTTTAGGATTTCAAATTTAGGATTCACTAAAGAAATTTAGACTTCTACCAACCTATTCAGACTTTTTTTTTATTTTGAGCTACTTTACTTCTCCTTATCTAATATGTGAAGAAGCAGAGATGGTTCCTCTAACAATACCAATTCATCACACAAGTTGAGCCTCTGAGATTTTTCTATAGTCACTTAAATAATTTTGGATAATGTCAACCTTCTTTGCTCTCTCTATGTTTTGGTAATTCCTGCTTTATGTGTTCATGAGTTCAAATCTGCATCTGACATGCTACCTCTGATGGTCTCAGAGAAAACATTTTCTTGCTCTTGTTCACTGAGAAAGCTATAGTCTTTTAAGCGTGTTTAATAGGAAAGAATTACCACTCAAGTTTAAGAACAAAGAGGCAGGTATGGAATGGCAGATTTAGATGTGTCTTTTGTAAGTTCTTTAGAAAAAATATAATGCTCGCACATTTTGACAACTGGTTTGAAGATAGTTTGAAAGAAAATGTTTATTTTAAAAACATTCGTGTTTTATTTTGTGGCAACGTTTGTGACTGAAAAGCCCTCAGCCCTCCCTGTCCCAAGGGACCCAGCCCCTGCAGCCAAAAACCTCCAGAACCGAGTCGCTAAGCTCAAGGTCACTCCCCAGACACTCAGGCCAAGCCTCATGTATGAGTGAACATATTCCTGGACCACGCAGCCATAAACTCCCTACCAATTCTCCATAAATACCACACCACATTTGATGATGTGCAACAAATTATAGAGTAAATATATATTATACATATACATATACATATACGTATACATATACATATACATATACATATACATATACATACCTACACTACCCAGATGCTGCCATGCTCCAGGACGCTTTCTGGATGCCCGGACCGAGACTCTCGCATGAATGAAGCCCCACAGAATCAGGTAAGTGGAACTTGGTGACCTTGGACTCCAGGCTCAACGGATCAGGGAACAGAGATTCTCTGCCTGCTCCCACCAATATCTGGTGACCAAGGGATTAAAACCAGAAGCCCCACCCTACCCTGCCCTGTCTGCTTCCATCAACCTCCAGTGACCCAGGGATTACACACAGAACCCACCCTACCGGTACCAGGTAATTACCTCATTGGCAGACCTTCACTACCTCCACTACCCAGCCTCCTCCATGCTCCAGGATGCTTTCCAGACTGCGTGGCTGCTTAATACAAGATTAGCACTCCATAATTGTAGGGTTCAAATATGGTTTGAACCATGGGAACACCTGCAAGGAAGATTAGAGGCCACCCTAAAAGCCTCTATCCCTATCAGAGAGACTGGCAAGCTATGACAATATCCCGCTCACACAGCAGAGCCTGGCAAGCTATCTGTGGCCTATTCGATATGCCAAAACCAATTAATACAATGGGTCTCATTCCCCTCACCAAGAAAGAGCCACCAATATGGCAGAGTTAAGAAGGATGAGAAAGGAGAGGTTGACAAAATCTCAAGGCAGAACTAGGCTGTTAAAACGAAGAAGGACAAAAATGACAAAATGACTATCTGTACTTTCAATGCACATACGCTGGCATCAGATGCATCCATTGAGGGCATGATGGTACAAGTGTGAAAGATCAAGTATGACATCATTGGTCTGACTGAGATGAGAAGGCATCAATCACATCACACCATTTTCGACACAGGAGAAGAACAGTTCCTCGGACCAAGCGATAAAAGAGGGGTCAGTGGTGTCGGTATCCTTGTCAACACAAACTTGGCCATGAGCATTGATTCATTCGAATGCCTAACAACATGAATCAGACAATTGCACTTGAATAGATGTGGCTCACTGCCGGCAGTTTCTATCTTCGTTGTCTACGCACCAACATCCAATTCTGATGGAGGAAAAATTGAGAAGTTCTACATGGAGCTGGAGAAGTTTTATAAAGAAGACCACACCTTCTACAAGACCATTGTCAGTGATTTTAATGCCAAGATAGGACCAAGAAGATCAGCCGAAGAACTCCACATTGCGACCTATGGCATAGAATGGAACGAACAAGGAGAGAGACTGTCTGAGTTCATCATGTCGACCAACCATCGATGGTAACTCACAGTTCCAAAAGGCCAAATCTAAACGGTGGACATGGGAGTTTCCAAGTGGATGGTTCCACAGTGAAATTGACCACATCAAATATAAACAGCGGTTTGAACTGACCAATGTCACTGTGGTTCCAAAATTCCAAATGGAATTGGACCACCGTCTCCTTTGTGCAAAATTGCACTTCACAGAGCAGGGAGAAAGGACTGCAAAGTTTAAGAAAACTCCCAGAATGACCACAAACTGGGAACTCTTTTGGCACTAGTGAGGCAACATGGGAAGATGCCGTCATTGACAACATGAGGAATAAGATTGAATGGTTCAGCACATACACGATTATGCGAAAAATGCCGAGAGATAGATAGCCACAAAAAGATGCCTGTCTTCAAAAACTCTCAAGCTCATTCGCCAATGTGGCTTGGCGCATGGCTCAGGCAACTGCAAGCAAACATCCAAGCTTGCAAAGCGGTGCAGAGAAGCGATCAAGGAAAACCTCAAAGAGAGAAGAGCAGCAGTGCTGGCAGATGTTGCAGAAGCCAGGAAAAGCATTCACAACACTCGCCTGTCCTTCACCAACTATAAGAGGACTGCCTTCCTATGTCCTGAGGGATCTATCACATCATCCAGAAGGGCAATGGAGAAGATTATCCATGACTTCTACTCAGATCTCTTCGATAGCCACTTCCACCTGCGCACATACCAAATTCCATAGGATGGATATGTCGTTTCCAATGTTCTCCCTTCTGAAATTCGACACACCATTCCGTCAGTAAAAAAGTGAACAGCACCTGGCCCATACAAGGTCAGACCGAAACACCTGAAGAACCTGCCATCAGTACTCATCAATATACTGGCTCAGCTCTTCATATGCTACCTGTCTGAATGCAAAATTCCATTCAAATGAAAAACCAGCACGACGTACTAATGTACAAGAAGGATCAATACATCACGAACCTTCATGAGCTGTATTACGGATTCACTACTAGGATCTCACCATTCTACAGAGAAATGATCATCCATGTCAAGAGGAGTTTGGCAGGGTGATACTATTTCACCGAAACTCTTCAGTGCCACCCTCGAGAACATCATGCAACTACTAGAAGGGGAAAGAATGGGAGTGAAGATAGACGGTCGGCAACTATACCACCTCTGCTTCGCTGATGACATTGCTCTAATAACAACAAACATTAGCCAAGGGGCACAAATGCTGGCCGACTTTGACTGTGAGTGTGGAAAGGTCGGACTCCAGATGAATCTCACGAAGACAATGTTTATGAGAAACAGTCTCGTTCCTGATGTTCCATTCTCTCTCAACGGAACGACCATCTCCAAATGCAACATTTATGTGTACATAGGTCGAGAAGTCAACATGACAAATGACCTGTCAACTAAGTTGTGCAGAAGGAAGAGAGCAACTTGGAATGCCTTCAAGAGCATCAAAGAAATAGCTAAGAGGACGAAGAACCTCTAGCTCTGAGCACATCTTTTCAATTCCACTGTTCTTCCTGCATTATCATATGCCTCAGGGACCTGGGCCCTACGGATACAGGATGAGAACGCTCTTCGGGTCTCCCAAAGAGGAATCAAAAGAGCTATGCTTGGAGTATCATGTTTCACTCAAATGAGAGAAAGTATCTAGAGTTCTGACCTCTGTCAATGGTCAAGATTCAGAAACGCTGTCTCATTTGCCAAGGCCTCGAAAATCAGATGGGCTGGACATGTAATGAGATTTGGAGATGATCACTGGACTAGAGCCATTACTGACTGGATTCCACGTGATGTCAAAAGATTGCATGGCTGCACACCTACGAGATGGTCAGACTTCTTCGTTAAGACCCTGAAAGATCGGTTTGAGGCTCTTCATATTCCTAGAACAAGCAGACACCATTGGGCTATACTAGCACCTAGCACTTGACAGGGACGAATGGAGATGTTACTGGCGACCGTTTGAGCAAATCGATGAGTAACGGGATGTCAAATGATCAAGTGATATACATAATATTTTCAGATATGTATATGAAAACTCACATCATTCAACGTTTAACAACATGTTAGTGATTTCCTAAAGAATGTCTTAATGTCCTCTGCCAAAATAGAACAATCTTCACATTGTTTCCTCCATAAGAAAAAAAAAGAAAATAAAAGCTCTCAATTTTGAAATAATAACTAACATCTGGTACATAAACATAATTTGTCTTTTTGAGTGCATAAAATCTATCCCTCCAAATCAGGCCTATTTGAAGAAATAAATGCATTTTTATAAATATGTATTAGTTTTATTTTAGTCAAACAATTGTTTGAACTGGATTTTTAAAAATTGGATAATTTTTGCTTCCCCAGTCAGATTTAAATGAGATTGTGATAAAGTGAGATAAGATTATGAAAAATGTATTGGCTGCATTGTTTGTAATATGAATATTTACATTCCAGATTAAAGTTATTCTTCTATTAGGATTTATAATAAACTATGAATTAAATGAATAGTCAATCAACAAGTCTATTTATTTACCTCTTCTTGTTTTAATTTTTTAATGTAGGAGTACTGCTATTTGTTTTGTTTTAATTTCTTGAATCAAAATATAACATACAGTGTTTTTGATAATTTTCTTAGAATGAATATAAAGAAAACTATACCTGCAAATAACTGGCTTTGTCATTAAATCTATTCACTAGAAAAATACTCTGTAAGAAACCTCAATATAATTACTACATTTGACCCCTAAGCAATTATATAGAGTTTCAAAGGCCCAGAGATCCAGGAGCTATACTTCTTCCATTGAGACATCATGACCTAATCTCTAGTGGACAAGAAGGGTTGACATGGACTTTGTCCATACATAAAGGATGCTTTTCTAAAGGCAGCTACTTGCTGAGATCAGAATTTATCTAAAGGTCAACCTCTGAGACTGACGACTAGCCTGTATGTGGAGAGAAACTGCTAACTGTGCTTCAGTGAGTCTCCCAAGTTGCAGAAAGAAGATCTGGGATGAGTAACGGGGATGCTTGCAAGTTATTGATTGGAAGTGGGTGAGATGAAGCCAGTTATTGTTCTTTATTTTAATCAGAAATAAAATGTGAGAGCTGTGATATTTTTGTGAAAAATAAGGTATGTTGGAGAAAAAATATGCTTTTATTTTGAGAAAAGTTTGTGTAATTCCCATTAAACTTTTTAATAGAGGCATAAGAGTAATACAGTGAGGAATTGCACCGTGCAAGACCCGGAGGCGTCCCCCAGACATTGGGATACAAAGCTGATCTGAGCCTCTCTGCCTCTCCCTTTCCCCTGCCCAAGCCGAGCCGGTCTCTCTTCCCCAATCCCAAGGTCACTTTTCGCCCCTTTTCTCGGACCCGGGACTTGGATTGCACCGTGCAAGCCCTGGAGGCGTCCCCTAGACTCCAGGAGACAAAGCTGATCTGAGCCTCTCTGCCTCTCCCTTTCCGCAGCCCAAGCTGAGCTGATCTCTTCTCCCCACCCAGTCTTTACTCCCTGGACACACACCAGGTATCCGTTGGGGTGTAGCCACTTTAGAAATGTGTGTGGCTTTTAAAAAGTGGGCGTGGCCTAATTTTTGGAGGGCCAACGCTTACACAGCAGTGGGTAGTTTACTCAAATCAAGAAATCTCATCCCTACACCTACACAACAACATGAAGAAAAAAAAGCAAATCCCTGCCACAGGGAGACCACGAGGAAATAAGTCCAGTAGCCTCAATAGGTGCTAGCCACCTTAGAGACCTCTCTGACAAAGAATTTAGATATGAAGTCATTAAGATGTTCAATCAACTTGATGAAACAGTCAGACAGATATTCGCTAAATTGAAAGAGGATATGAAAGAAGCAATCGATTG